CACATATAATGGAAAAGCTTATCGATTTATTAAAGGATCTCCATTAAATTTACCATTAACAGAATTATTGGCTAGTATCTATTTACATCATTGGCAAGTACCTTTAGTTAGAAATGTTCGTGTGAGAGATGTATTCTATGGTCGATATAATGATATGGGTTTTCTAACTTGGAATGCATCCATCGAAGAATTACAGAAAATATTTGATGAACTTGAACAAGGCCTAGATTCAAATCTTCAAATGGCAACATTTATTGGTAGTGATGTTCATTTTCTTCATGCATTTATTGAAAATCAAAAGGGTCGCTTATATACGCGTGTTTATCATGATTCAATAAGTCAACCATTTTTATTACCTTATGCGCATAGTCATCCACGATTATTTCATCGACAATGGTTTCGAGCTGCTCTTATACGTGCTGGTCAATATTGTAGTTCATTCGAAGATTTCGAAGAAGAACGACTTTATCTTGAATTAAGCTTTCTTGCTAATGGCTATTCATTAGATTTTGTCGAATATCACTTGAGACAATTCTTTTCACGTTTTAATCCTAAGCCAAATGAACCAATGAATCTCAACCGATTCACATATCTTTCACTTCGCCGTGAATTATTTCGTTGCATCGATCAACAGAGACATAATCTGGAAGAAGAACAAGAATTACATAAGAATTGTCATTTAATTCAACTACATTATCTTTTCGATTGGGGTTCAAGATTTCAATTCAATCAAAAATTTCATGAACTTTGGTCTGAAATTCTAGAGCAAGACCCACGCTTTAAAGAGTATGGATTGAAAATTAAGCTTAACACTAAACACTGTTATTCGTCAAATACTCTCTTGGCCCGATCGAACATACATACATGAAGTGAGAGAATTCAAATTTAAATATTTATTTCTTTGTATATTTCTATCAATTCGGATGTTGCTAATGCTTGATTATAAGTCATCAATTTCCAACCACACATGTCATCTTATTATTCTTCTTTTTTTTGCATGTGTCTTATTGTTATACTCTTATTATACCTAGACTTTTATCAATAATATATCATTATAAAATAATAATACACTCTCAAACATATTACCTATAACTATTCATATTGTTTATCTGCATTTTCTTTCCTTATAGATCTATTCGAATAACATAGAGATGCAACAGTACTCTTACTTGTTTATTCCTTTATCGATTCTTTATTTATCCTCACTACATGTGACGCTGCTGGATGTACTTAATCAAAAGAGAATCCATATGAAAACATTGCCTTAAAATTAGAACAATGCGTTCAAAACGTTTACTACTTATTCATAATCATGTTTATTGGTACTATCCCGTTGTATTTCATCCAATGCTACCAAAGAAAACAATAAACTAAATCTTTACCAATATCAAAGAAAACATCAATTAATAATACCAACACTAATCGAAATATAAATGAATTATCACAACTTCAACCAATAAAATCGGGCGTTTTATTGTACAGTCATTGCGCACAAAAACCAATCATCCTCGACAAGCTATTTCCCGAAGCGACAAAAGCCTAATCAATTACAATTGTGCCAAAACCTGGCTCACTATATTCTGATTATATGGCTATTAACGTTGAGCCAGTTCAACACACATATACAACAACATCACTCGTCGAATACACAAACAAACAAAATAGAAACTCATCATAACATTATCGATTACATAATTGCTATGCTTTTCACATCCATTCATCGAAAACAACCTCAACATGAGTTGACCTTATCGATCAATTGATACCATACATACACTATGGTCTATTTGCATACAATGACATCAGCCAAGTTCAACGCATCGCTACCCAACGAAAAATAAAACCGTCGTCTAATCATCTATTCCGTCACAATCCACGACGTCCCAAATATCCAAAACTATGACAAAAACGAACCTTAGTCTCCTAGATATCTCCTACATATTTCCGATGTAGACGATCATACGTCATTCGTCGATAGAAATTTCGTCCAAAAAATTCGATCTTTCAGATAGCCATCCCAACGCTATTCGATACCTTGAGTTATTCAGCAACATCGAAAATACCGGATATTTGTGGTAGCTTTTACGCACCCAGTACGTGTGCTTCTATTTTATACGAGATAGAAGATGATATCTTATTTTGATTCGAAATTTCTCGAAAATTTTGGACCTTTTAAATAGGTATCCCTGTGCCACTTGATAAGATTTCAGCAACATCGAAAATACCGGATATTTGTGGTAGCTTTTACACACCCTCACCCACACCCATGTCTTCAATGAAATCGATTAACATTTGGCTATTGATTCCTTTGACCTCTTTTGTTTTTCTATCTTGTGGTGAATATACGATTGGTGGCAACACTTGATCGCCAACAATGGCAGCTATCATGTCGAAATGAGCAGCGTATGATGATGAATCAGTAACAACAACATATGGCATTTCTCCTGAAGCTACTAAAGTTGTTCGTGCCACTTCGTTGATTTTGATATGAGTTTCATCCAGAAAAATAATTTTTTTATTGGAAACTCGTTGAAGCTTAAGACGTAATGTTGCTGTTTCATCACAAGCCAGTTTACCCACTAAATTGAAAATTGATAAAAAAAATTTGATGGAAACAATGGAATGGTGAAAGACAGTGATTGAATATGATTGAGTACATGTCTCTTTACTCACACTCTTTATGAAAACGTTTGATGTTTTTCTTGCACTTGATGCCGTTTTTGTTTCCATATCTTTGAATTGTTCTGAGAGAAAGATTAGTATTTGTTTTCTCACGAACGGATTTTACGAGTTTTGTATAATTGATAGAACTTGAAAGACGATTATGAGAACGAATAACCATGGTAATGAATTTATTAATTTGTTTCTTATTTAATATTGGTGCTCGTTCTGAACGATGATGATGTTGTAACGATGAAAGATTGCCATTATATCGATCATACCACCGCTTCACCGTTGCATGATCACCTGGAATTCGGAAATGATTAGCAACGGATCGGAAACTAAGATTCGGTTGATTTCGAAGATAAAAATCGATGACACATTTCTTAAATGAAGATTCATAATATCGAGATGAATCGCTCATAATCTGACATTTAATAATGAATTGATATAACTTCTTTTGATCGTATGTAATGCTTTTTCGAAAAAAACGACGGATACAAAGCGAGTAGATTATCAACCGTTATTTAGTGTCGAACACTAGCTAAGTTTATGGTTATTTTAAATGAACAATATCGATAGATGGTGCTGTGATTTTAATTAAGGTATTTTTATAGGAACGAATGCTTACGTAGATGATGATATCTATCAGTAAACCACATTGTCTTCCGTCTTAGAAATATATATGAGATGGAGATATTTATGCATTCCTTCCAGAAGTACATTTACTGACAATGATTTCTAGATTCATTGAGTATTTACTATGTGGTGAACTTTTACTTTAAACAAAAATATTAACTTGTCTTTTTTCATGAAATTTTTGCATTAGTCTCGAAGTTTGTTTTGTTTCTGATTTTTTTATATTTAACAAGTGAACATGTCAATTATATACATATTTGTAGTACTCGAGATGCTCTATCGAATGAAAAAAAAAATTATGAAAAACTCCGATATTATAGTGGAATGCGACCCAAAACAGAAAAGTGGTGCGAGACTTATGACGTCCACTGTAAATCACTTGAAAATGATTTCTTCTTTATTGTTGCTTGCTTATTTCTCATTCAACACTTCTCATTTATTTATCTTATTCAATTCAAAAAAAAATATCAAGTCAAATATGAACGTTGGGAATATGAAAATAGATATCTTTATCTTCTGTTTCTGAAACTTGAACAAGAATAAGTAGACAATATTTATTTATTTTCTCCTTGTGCCATTTTCATTTCCTCGTCGTCTTCATCTTGAGATGATGATTTACCGCAATTTAACAAAGTGACAAAAATTACTGCAATCACACCACCCAAATATGGTCCGGCCATATACACCCACAAACTTGCTCTGTCATCTTGGCTCGAATTCACAATGGCCGGTCCGAGGGTTCTCGTCGGATTCATCGAAGATGAATTGATATTGCCAATGATTGCAGTAAGTATATTGATCGAACCAACGGCCAGTGCTGCCAAAGGTCCGATAATGCTCCCTCGTGTTGCAGTTTGTAGTACAACAAATAGAAGAAAAAAGGAAGTAATTATTTCCCAAAAAAAGCCGAGTGCATATGATGAGAGTATTGTGAGATCAATAGCATTTGTTCCGTAGATTGCATCTTGTTTGTACAAGGCACGCAAGACACCACTTGCTGCAATTGCTGCTGTTAGTTGAACAGCATTGTAAACGGGTAGCCAGAGTAAAGGAAATGTTTTTTGAAGAGTGAAGACCAATGTTACCACTGGATTGAAGTGTGCACCAGAAATACCACCCAGCGAATAAACGAGAGCCACAATTACAAGACCTTGTCCGAGAGCATTTTCAAGAGTAGTAAGACGATCAAGTTTCAATTCGACGCGCATACTCGCATAGCATAGAACAAGAATGAACGTACCGATGAACTCACCAAGTAGACGTTGAAATAATTTACGAAGCGAAGCTCTCTTTTCTTTCTTGTATGCTCTTGGTTCTTCTTCGAACCAAAGTTTAAGAATCATATCATGATTAGAAGACGATTGCTGTTCTTGATGACTATCAAGTATTGATCGTAAAATGAGTAATGTTTCTTGGTGCTCAATTTCTCGTCGATGTTTTGCTTCTGTTTTAAACCATTGTTGTTTTTCACACTGCTCAACCAGTGGCGGTGTAATGATATACTGATAAATTTTGTCTACGAAAATAAAAAAGATAAATCATGCAGTTCATGAACAGTTGTTTCACTTACTACACAGTGATACTGATTCATTTTTTGCTTTCATTTTATTTATTTTTTGTATTTGAATGATATTGAGTTTCTGTTTGAACACTTTTGCTCTTATCTACGTGAATCACCTTCTTTTTTCGTTAGTTCTTCACGATTCAGCTTGGAAAATACCTATATTGATACAAAAAAAGAACGAGAGAAATGAACTTATTTGATTGATGTCTTCGAACGTGATATTTTTGTGAATGTAATTTCAATTAATTACTCTATAGATATCTGAGAACGGAAGTCATTCAGTAGAAAAACCTATAGTATTCTTCCGACGAAATTATTAGTATTTACTCTCAGTACGCATCGTAGGAGTATCATTTTTTTTGAATATATTTTGCATGATAGATATTATCTCACTATTTTGCGTCTGATATTATTACTTCCCATTTTTCGTTTATATCACAAATCATTGTTGGAAAAAATGAAGCAGAGAAGGAAAATAGTCACACTTGACTAACACCTTCACATCATATTATCAAGCGTGACTTTGGGAGTGAGGGTGAGCCAGTAAAGAATGAATACTAGCAAAAGAAAAAAACGGAAGTGAATAACCAGTAAGACATATAAAAGTTTATACCGCTGGATAATATAGCTATAAGAAATGAAGTCAACTGGTTTTTATTGAAGTAACATACAATTTAATGAATTTTGTCGTATTCACTATATTGTCGGTAATTGCCGTCATGTCGCAAACAGATACGCTATCATCGTCCCATCGGGTAACACAGGCAGCACTCGTTCAAAAGCTTCATCTATCGCAACTGAATAAACTGACATCTAGCTTTGTTAACGCCGAATCTGAGAGATTGTTTGATCCAAAAGCAGAATATTCACAGCAGGCAAATTTTACTGTTCGATTCGGCTTACAAAAATGTACAAAATGTCAAACATTCGGCATAGTGGGTGCAGGTAAATATATGAACTAGAATTACTGACCGAATCAATTTTATTTACTGAATTACTGATGTCTAACGACGTTGATGTTTGTTGACAGTTGTTATACTGCGATGTTATAGTAGTACTGATATAACATCAGGCAATTATCATCATTACTTCAGATTGAGAACAAGACTTTTGTTATTTCTTTACGATTATCACGCATTGTGTACATGATAGTAGACAGATAGATGGCTATCTCGAAACGGAGATGTCTCACGATACAATGTATTAGAGGTAAACAAGAAATACACGGCTTGCTGTGTAATGAAAAGAAAGTTATCAATTTGTTTAATGAATACTGAGTGAACTAATAACATATAAGACATCATAACAAAAATCATAACGCTACACATACGATAAACATCGTGATATGTGTTTAGTACCAAGCTGTATCAAAGATAGAACTCGTCAGATACAAAATTTTTGAATCCAGACTTGCCAGATGGGTTCTAGTAAAAGGGATACCTGTTGACCCTATTCATCGGTCCATGCAAATGTGAGAAAATGAAGACTACCAAACAAATATACTATAAGGCCGAATAGCAACGGTTGCTAATTTATATGTGAAAATTATATAGTAGAAAAAGTAAAGCTTTCACAAGACTTTCAATAGAGTTAGTTTTCCTCTCAATAACGATTTACCATAAAATTGAGCATCTGCTTAAATGTAGAAATCCAACTTATTTTATAGCTACATTTTAGGTCCATCCGGTCTTGTCACTGGTCTAGAGCTCGCTCTTGCCGGACATACAGTCATTTTGTTCGAGGCAAACAATCGTACAGGTGGACGAGTCTGGACTCATAGCAATGAAACAACTGGTTTATATTTACTAGAAATGGGTGCCATGCGATTGCCATTAGACGTACATAGTATGCTGAACACTTATATTCGTGAAAGATTGCAGCTGGAATTAGAACCTTATATCAACTACGATCCTGATACATTGGTCTACATAAACGATGTGCTCACCACTCGCAAACAAGCCAATGACAATCCTGGTCAATTCAATTTCAATCTCTATCCCAATGAGACTAACAAGGTACTTCTCGTTAGAAATCTTCAAAACAGATTTTTCTTCAGTCATGATCTCAGACTTGAGACAGGTAAAAACTTTTTTTTTGTTAATTCTGCTCTTGATCCAATAGATTATATTTTGTTTCTAAAAAAAAAGTAATTCTTTTTATGTAGTCTGCATGATTCTTTGAATATATATAATTTCAATATGAATGTTTTTGACTCTTTTAGTAGTACAAGCATTTTTAAATATGCATGCATCAGAATTAGAGATTTGTCAAATTAATTTTATGTCTCTGTCAAGTTTCTTTTCCTGGTTCTGAGCATGTGACTCAAAAATTCTAATAAATGTGGAAGTTTTTTTTAATTATAGGCAAGTCGATCAACAAAATTAAGGAATTCATACTAACGAGTATTCCAGAGAAAATAGACCTCTCAATGTATCGATGATATCTTTTTTTAATATTCATCCGTTAATTCTCTATAAAACAAGATTTACACAAACAGTTAAACATGAGCATTTTTCTAAAACAGCTTTTTGTCGATTTTTTTCTAGAAATATATTCTAGTTCTTCAATTAGAATATTGTTTGATGCTACTTTTTTTCTATTCAATAGAGTGAGCAAAATAATCTTAAATTAAACAGTTCGACTAAGTTAGATGTGGATTATTCGATGGCTAATGTTTGCTATTGATTAAAAGAGGGGGAATAATCCTGTTATCAGTATTATATACATTGAATGATATGAAGCTTTTTACATCGTCTAATGCGGGAACGTTTTAACTGTCAAATCACTTTTAGGTTCGGGCTCTGTGCACAAGGTAGACCCCAGTGACGTATGAAAGGCCCCAAACAGATAAGTGCTCTTAGGTCTTTTGTCCACAGTTTTAGGTATTATACTGGAATTTTAGCCTCTGGCATGAAATATACCAACAAATCGAATGATGGTATTTCGATCTGAGATTTTACCAACAGCTAGATTTATTTGTAAATATGATGCTCTGAAAATTTTAGCTCAAAAGGATATTTTCTCCCCAAGATATTAAAGTCCCAAGAAATGGCAAATTCAAGCATTCTTCCTGGGGTAGCAGTGATTTTTGAAACTTTAACATCTCGGAGAGATTTAAGCTGAAATTTTTAGGACATCTTACTTACAAACAGTCCTAGCTGTTGGCAAAATCTCAGATCGAAATACCATCATTCGATTTGTTGGTATATATCATGCCAGAAGCTAAAATTCCAGTATAATACCTATAACTGTGGACACAAGCCCTAAGAGCACTTATCTGTTTGGGGCTTTTCATACCTCACTGGTGTCTACTTTATGCACAGAGTCCAAATCCAAAAGTGATTTGACAGTTGAAAACGTTTTCTCATTAGATGATGTGAAAAGTTCCATATCACTCAATGAATATAATAATGATAACAGGATAATTTCCCCTCTTTTAATCAATAGGAAACATTGGCCATCGAATAATCCACACATATAAACTCGTTGAACCGCTTAATTTGAGATGTTAATGCTTTGTTGGGATCAGCTTGCAGATTCCCATTTACGGTGCAATTACTCTGAATACGATAACTATAACACCGTTTAGTATCAAAGTTTTACAATAATTTTGATTTTCCTTCAGTCAGCGTCAACCTTATGGAATATTGCAGTGAAGCCTATTACTGATCTTTTCTATGCTGACCGTTGGAAAGAAGCGGTCGAGAAATGGGATGGTTACAGTATCGAACGATATCTCCTTGAAGTGGCACATTTGTCACCAGATGCTATACGGTTTGTTTCATTATTAACAAATCTGGAAACGAGTTTGTATACAGCTATCCTTGACAATGTATTGTTACATCTTATTATCAATGATGAAACAACATTTTATCATATCAAAGGTGGAAACTCTGGTTTTACTGATGCGCTCGTGCGAAGCTGTCAAGCAGTGCCTGATGGTCGATGTTCAATCCATTTGTCGACACGGGTCACGGCAATTGAGTTAGGAAACGGTTCAGCGACAGTGACATATGGTTCATCATTCACTACTTTATCTCAAAATGCAAGTGAGACATTCGATCATGTAGTTATAGCAACAACGGCAACTGCTGCCTCTCTACTCGACTTGAAACCGCGCCGCCGTTTTATAGACACTTACTATGCTCTAAGACAATTGCACTACGACTGTGCTAGCAAAATAGGTCTCTATTTCACACGACAATGGTGGCGCAACATAGGTATTGACGGAGGCTTCAGTACTAGCGATTTGCCTATACGTACAACAATATACTTCAGCTTCCCGCCCGCTCCTTCACCTGCAACGTTACTTGCATCATACGCTTGGTCTCAGGATTCGATTGTATGGTCAACCGTACCTGAAGATACAGCTATTGCTATGGCTCTAACAGATGTACAACAACTGCATACTAATATCAACATCAGTCAATACTTTGCTGGTGGTAAGCTAATAGTACAATATTCAAAGCCCAGCAGTTTGGTAGCGATTGAGTATTCTTCCATGCAAAACTTTCGATTCATCTACTAAATCAGCTGAATAAATATATGTATCTTTGCAAGACTGAAGCATTGTGTTTTGAACCTTTTGAATAACTTTTATAATCATTAAGATAAAATTCTAAAATGTTTACTATCTTTTCACAGGTATCACTAAACATTGGTGTCAAGATCAATATACACAAGGTGGTACTTTTGCTCAATATGCTCCGTATCAACAGACTAAACTGAAAGATCTACTTGCTGCGTCAGTAGATAATGTACACTTCACTGGAGAGCACATTTCTAGTGCACACGCTTGGTAAGACAAACAATATTATATTTGAAACATGTTTAGGTAAAATTTTTTTTCACATCATTTAGGATCGAAGGTGCAATTTTATCAGCTCTTCGCTTGCTCATGCAAATTCAAGAGGAGTCATTTGATGCGGCTATCGTCGGTGATGATCTAATATCACTAATCACAGTTTTACAAATCGCTGAATTGCAGCCTACTTGGCGCATTGTTCTTTTATCTGCAGCTCCGAGTGACAATCATATGGATAACAATAGCGACGAAGAATTGAGTCGATTTCGACCGAATGATGCCGCTATTACTCAATCTATAGTACTCTGGCGTGCACTTGAAGCGAAAGCTAACGTATCCAATGGTACTTTCCTGAATCTCACCAATGGTTATTTGTTGCTTACTGATGAAAACAGTACATGTTCAAATAATTGTCAAGAATTAGATGCTGTTCAGATTGAGGCTCAATTTGGATTTCATAATATCTCACGTGGTCTGTTTTATTCATCAGGTGGCTATGTCAATATCACGGCTGCGCATCACACACTGATCCAACTATTAGAAAAGATTCCTAATGTAGTTACTCGTAGTAATGAATACTTTGTGGGTCTTGATACGCGTGTATCCAATTCGGCTGATCATGTTCGATTAATTACGAATCGAGGTAGTCTCAATGCAAGTAGACTGGTGTTGATACCTGGTCCAAATGGAAACAATGTCTCTAAAAAGTTCAATTTTCACTTGAACTTACGTCTATGGGAACTACCGACCATCACTTATCGAGCGAAGACTTCTTCTTTTCGTCAGTTACCTACCTGGGCATATGATAAATCATTCATTGGACTGCCCCTTATGGCATCGAATGATGTGAGAATTTCACCAGCTGTCAGCTCAATCTCAACACAATTATTTACCGATCCTAATCAACTGACATACGTTCCTGATCCTCTTCTGATCCCACGTACCACTACATGGGTAATTGATCATCTTTCATCCAAAGTCAACTCAAGTGATTACTATGTTTTATCGAAAACTCATATCGCCACAAGACTGCTAGCAGGTGATGTTCTAGATCGTTTACCGCCATGCGCTCGTTATAGAAGTAAAACATTTATCTATGCTGGTGGATCCGTTGATGGTAGCACATCACCATTGACTCCCGTATGGGCGGTCATGTTGACTCAACTTGTTCTAGGAACATCAAACAATTCCATCTACAACGATCTATTTTCCAGTATGAATGCTGAAAAGTTGACTTGCGAGACACGGTCATTTTGAGAAACAACATTGCTTTGTACAACAATTTCAGGCAGCAATTCTTTCTCATCTTATTATACCAGTGACTTTGCTTCTTTTTCTTCATTTTGCTTTTTATGGAGTGGGGTGTGGGTGTGGGTGTGGGTGTGGGTGTGGGTGTGGGTGGGTGTGTGGGTGTGGGTAGGTGTGGGTGTGGGTGTCGCTGTGGGTACGGGTATGGGTATGGGTGTGGGTGTGGGTGTGGGTGTGGGTATGGGTGTGGGTGTGGGTGTGGGTGTGGGTGTGGGTGTGGGTGTGGGTGTGAGCACTGTAAAAAAACAAGGTACTTTCTGGAACCTCAAAAAAAGGTCCGGTAGATGACAAGAAGTTTGCAAATGTGTTGAAAGTTTAAAAAAACGAATAAAAAAACCCGGAACCTTTAAAGGATCTTACCGTGTACCCAAGTGAAGATCCTTTTTTCTTCGAAACCTTTTTAGGTTCCGTACACCAAAAATAGGTTTTGTAGGAAAGTACGAAACCTTTAAAGTTTCGCATCAAGTATAATAGTTTTATAGGAAACCCAGTACGAAATCTCGAGGTTCAATACGAAACCCTAAAGGTTTCGTACTTTCCTAAAAAACCTTTTTTCTGGTGTACGGAACCTAAAAAGGTTTCGAAGAAAAAAGGATCTTCACTTGGGTACACGGTAAGATCCTTTAAAGGTTCCTGGTTTTTTTATTCGTTTTTTTAAACTTTCAACACATTTGCAAACTTTTTGTCATCTACCGAACCTTTTTTTGAGGTTCCAGAAAGTACCTTTTTTTTACAGTGAGTATGGGTGTGAGTATGGGTGTGAGTGTGGGTGTGGGTGTCATGCTCTGCACAAAACTCCACACCAATACCCACACCCACACCCACACCCACACCCACACCCACACCCATACCCACACCCACACCCATACCCATACCCACACCCA